TTTCTGAATAAATAGTATATTAGCAAATAGCATTTCATCTTTCTGTGTGTATCTTTATTACAGATCTCCCTTAATTTGGAGTTTTCTTGAGCTAAAAGTGAGAGAAAAGGAAAATGTTGACATATGCATAAAATAGAACTATAGAAGATGACAATAATGATAGTATTAGAGATACTACAGTATTTTGAACAGGTTTGTTTATTTAGAAAATATTTATCCACGCTACTAAAGAGAATCTGAATCCGAAACAGTTTTGAGTGGTTAATATTATAAACATATCTCTAGAACAGATTTGTTTATTTAAACAATATTTATCTATACACTACTAAAGAAAATCTGAAACCACAACAGTTTTGAGAGGTTAAATATTATAAACATATTTTTAGAACAGGGACATTTCATCTCTGTAATATAGGCTGCACTGCATAGCTCTTTGAAGTTTTATACAAGATGAACTTTTTTCTCACAGAAGAACAACAACACATTGCATATTTTGCATATACTCTCATGCTGTGCACAGCCTTCCTAGTCGAGGATAATAAGCCCAGCCAAACCCTGCATCACTTCTTCTCCCTCTTCCCTTCTCCCGGGCCAAGCAGCATCTTACGATGATGCTGAAGCCTTCATCATCTTAAGTCACAAATTCCGCGTCTGGCCCTTGCAATTTATATGTTAATTTATCCGCAGAATGCAGCCCCAATATTGGATGCGTATGGGGATCGCGTTGTTTGCCGCTCCCCGCATACTAAGTATAAAATGCAATCTTTGCAGACTTCTTGCTGCAAGCCCCAGCTACACACAAACACACTCCCCCATCGCCCCTAAGTGCGGGGTGCATGTTGTGTGTATATGCATGATTTGTGTGTATGTGGTCTACACTACATGTAGCATGTTTTAGAGCATTTGTGCAGAGGGATGCATACATGTAGGTTTTTTACGATATCAAATTCCATGTACAGGACTTTACATGTATATTGTATTCATATATATATATATATATATTTCCTCACCATTAAAATATATATTGTTACGATACAGGACCTACACATTTGTCAGGAAATGCTTATGTATTAAGTTTCTTTTTTAATGCTAGCAAAAATAATTATTTGTCACATTTGCTGTTCTCATAGTAAAAAAGAAAATACATAGAGAATTTGTTTTATCATTCAATAGACTAAACTCTTCTTTTATGTAAAAGAAACATATGATGTATAATATCAAAATTATCCATGTAAATGCATAAAAACACATCATCTCTCTCCCTCTCTCTCTATCTCTGTATCTGGCTTGGTCTCTCTTTATCTTTCTATCTTTCTTTCTTTCTTCATCTATTTTTCTATTCCTTTCCCATAAGTCTGTCTTATCTCTCCATCTCTCCTTTTTTCCCTTCTTCTTCTTCTTCTTTCCCTTTTACCTCTATTCGTCCTTTTCCTCCTTGTCTTCCTTTCCTACCCTCACATCTTTCTCTCTCTCTCTCTCTCTCTCTCTCTCTCTCTCTCTCTCTCTCGCTCTCTCTCTTCCCTCTTCCCTCTTCCCTCTTTGTTTACCAAATGTTTTTTCATCAAAATCAGAACATTTCATTTTCAAATTGCTCATCAGTATTTCCATAGCATGGTCGCTAGATAAATAAAATATTATACAGCTGAGATTGTAATATTTCTTTTTTTTCATCATTATTAACCTGAACATAGCACAAACCAAAACTGTCATAAACATGAACATGTAGAGAGTAGAAGAATAATGGAATCCTATTCACCAGATCATATACATATATATATATATATTTATTCTACTTTTTTTTCTTCTTTTTTGGTCAATGTTCTTTTTTTTCATATCTAAATTGAATTTTTAAGTGCATTTGAAAAAAATAAATTGCTGGAAAAACAATGTTTTTATCAATTTCTTGTAAAAAACCAACAACAAAACTACATGCATTGATCTTTAAACATGAATGGATTAAAAAGGGATGCCAGATTAGCAGACCTTATGAATGCAGGATGCGTGCAATCGAGAATATCAATATTGCCCTATCAGTCGCACAAATCAAACAGGATTTTGATTGTAAATATCAATTAGTTTCACTTAACCACAATACCTCATAAATGAAACAGCTCTTGATAAATCATCTAATCATCATTGTGCTTTAATCGCACTTACGCATGGCCTTGGGTTAATGAATCTGTGACGGTACCGCTGGTGCGCAACGGAAACGCACAATGAGAACCGCATCCCGCTCCACTAAGCTTTGCGTGCACAAATCAATTATATCGATGTACACAACTGGTAACGATTGGGGATTCCAGCAATAGCCATGGTAATGGAGGGAACAAATATCGGTATGGGAACAGCTGGAAAAATCTGTAATCATATGTTTTGGAATTTAATGTTTTTGTATATTTACGAGTATTTAAACAATAGATATTCCCAGTTATTCCCTGTCTACATGTAGACTTTTATCACACTCTCTCTCTCTCTATCTTTATTGTCAACATTTGTAATTCCCCTCCATCTCTTCTCTCCCACTTTGTATTTCTCTCTCTCTCTCTCTCTCTCTCTCTCTTTCTCTTATATGTTTAAAACTTAATGTTTTCTATATATACAAGTATGCAAACAAATACTTTTTACCTTCTATTCCCTGTCTACATGTGGACTTATGCCACTCTCTCTCTCCCTTATCTATATCGTCAACATTTTCTAAATCCCCTCCATCTCTTTCTCTCCCACTTTGTACTTCTCTCCTCTCTCTCTCTCTCTCTATTATATGTTTACAACTTAATGTTTTCTACATAAATACAAGTATGCAAACAATAAATATTTCTATCTATTCCCAATCTACATGTTGACTTTGGCCACTCTCTCTCCCCTATCTTTATTGTCAACATTTGTAAATCCCCTCCATCTCTTTCTCTCCGACTTTCTATTTCTCTCTTCTCTCTCTCTTTCTCTCTCTCTTTCTCTTTCTCTTTCTCTCTCTCTCTATTATATGTTTAAAACTTAATGTTTTCTATATATATATATATATACATGTTTGCAAACAATCAATGTTTACCTTATATTCCTTGGGCGGTATTCTGAACCCTGTGTTATCTCTAATATTGTTGTATCTTTGAAGATAAGATAAAGTTGGTATTCTGAACACTGTTGTATCTTTTGTGTTATCTTTTGTTGTATCTTTTCTCTTATCTCTTTGGCCGCGCCTGCGCTCATACTTTGATGCGCTTGTAATTGTGCGTATTATTAATACAATGGCATTTTATCCTCATTTGCATATGCGCACGAGAGATAATATGTCGAGATAATTGGTATTCTGAAAGTTGTTGTATCTTTTATCTTATCTTATCTTGCATGGTATTTACAACAATATTTACAACAGGTAGGGGGTTGTTGTATCTTTCGTGGTGATATAATAGCGGCAATCTCTCTTTCCCAAAACCAACTACGTGCCAATAGACGAGTAAGAAGAAGATTGTGTGTTGACCGGAAACATCACAGATGAGAAGTTTCTAAGATATTACATGCTAGGATATGACAATTTTAATGCTCACATCTTAACGAATTGAGTGAAAACGTGATTTGTCTTCATGATCCACGTGCCACAGCGCATAATGATGACGCGCGTAATAAGCGCTCAAATAACTAATTACGCCCAATATTAGTATGCGCTAGGCGCAACTTCAGATATGGCATAAAGTATTCCTATTGGTTAACCCACTTATCATGCTTATATAAAACAGATTTTGATTGGTAGGGTCCATACAAATGGGCGTGTCAACAGTGGTCAAAGATTAAGATAGAGGCGGTCCTACAAGAGATAACACAGGGATAAAATGATGTTCAGAATACCAACTTACAACAATATTAGCGCTGTGTTATCTCTGGAAGATACAACAAAAGATAACACAAAACTTACAACAATGTTCAGAATACCACCCCTTGTCAACATGTTGACCTTTGACACTCTCTCCCTTATCTTTACTGTTAACATCACCTCAATCTCTTTCTGTCCCCTTTTATATTTCGCTCTTCTCTCTTTTTCCTCTCCTCTCTCTTCCACCATTCTCCTCCACTCCCTTTCTTCCTCTCTGTCTATCTATCTGATCTCTCTCTCTTTCTCTCACTCACTCTACCTCTCTGTGTGTCTGTCTCTCTCTCTCTCTCTCTCTCTCTCTCTCCTTTCTCTCTCTTTCTCCCCTCCCTCCCCTCAGTGTACTTCCCCCATTAGGTTTTTCCTTTTTATGTTAATACATGTACACGAATTTGAACTTTGATCTTTGAGCTGTTGACCTCTGACCACTAAGTATATTGATGATGACATCTGTCTCATATTTGGTTTGTTTCTCTTCATGCTAACACATCAATTTGACATTGAAACATTGAACTTTAAACTATGAATGTCTCACATGTTCCTTGTTGACCTCTGACCCCTTCCCACAATAGGGCTGACATCTGTCTTGTAAAGTTGTATTGGGTTATTTCTTCTCTTTATGTCAACACATCAATTTGACATTAGAACATTAAACTTTGAACTATGGGTGATGTTTTACCTTGTTGACCTCTGACGTACCCTTACTACATCCATGACGACATTGTTAACCTTTGATACCTTCCCCACAAAAAAGTATTATTAAGAAGTATTAAGTTTGTGTCTTCTCTTCATGCTAACACATCAATTTGACATTGAAACATTGAACTTTGAACTATGAAAGTCTCACATGTTCCTTGTTGACCTCTGACCCCTTCCCACAACAGTGCTAACATTCGCCTTGTATAAAGTTTGTTTCTTCTTGTCATGCTAACACATCAATTTGACATTGAACACTGAACTTTGAACTTTGAACTTTGGGTGATGTCTTACCTTGTTACCCTCTCACCCCTTCCAAACAACAGGGCTAACATATGTCTTGTATAAAGTTTGTTTCTTCTCTTTATGTTATCACATCAATTTGACATTAAACATTGAACTTTAAACTTTGAACTACGAACTATGGGTGATGTCTTACCTTGTTGACCTCTGACCCCTTCCCCACATCCATTCTGACATCCAAATGCCCTGAAGACCTGGATGAGGGTCTGCATGACTAGGTTGTGGACTGTCATGTCTTCCATTCCCTTGGCGGCTGCTTCAGCATCTCCGTCCTTTACACCTGTCTTAACCTTTGGTAGGATGGAGGAAGATTCAAGGATGGAAAATCAACATTTGAACTTTGATCACCTATGTTTCTAAACAGCACATTTTTGTCTTGACCTGTGGTAGCTAGGTAGGAGGAGGGAGGGAGCTTCGAGGGTGGAAGATCAAGATTGGAACTTCATCTATTGGTTTCTGAACAGCACATCTCTGTCTTATCTTTTGGAAGGAGGGGGATTCAAGGATGGAAGATCAAACTTAGAACTTTCATTAGATGGGTGAGCATTCACAAGGAGAACGTGAAATCAGTAAGCATGCATGATAATCCTTGCATAGTGCTATTGTGAAAATGTAATCCTTCGTAGGAATCATATAACTATCTTAGTTGTTATAAGCCGTTGACTAGCAGATTTTTTCATCCCAAAGGATTCAAAACAGGATTGGGTTTACTAATGTAAAATGGTTTTTCAAGGGAAATGGAAAATTGCCAAAGTTTTCACTATTTTCATGAGGAAAAAATTTAGGAGAAAAGGTAAATCTAAGATGAGAAACCAGTCAATTAACTGCCCTCTCCCAAAAATAAAGACCCACCCCTTCCTAACTACTAACCCCCTTTCCTTGGATTACAAGATATCTTCGTCAATTATCTACCCTCTCCCCAAAAGACCCTTTGTAAGGAAATTCCAGCTAGCAATGGTTATTTCTTAAGATAATGGAGGAGTTTCAAAGTTGTGTGGCATGCAGACAGATGTATATCTACAGTGCCACATGTTGTCATGTATGTCCGATCAGTTTGCGGTCATAGGTACATGTCCATGCACATGTCAGGATGCTCTGTGGCATACTGAGCAATTGATTTAGCATCCCATCCCCATTCCCACTAGCAAAACCATTGTATAGTGTTATATCCCCTGTATAGAAGCAGTGGATGACCAAAGAAGTGCTCCATCTATATTTGCTCTGAGCTATATTTGTTGAAGTTGTATTTATACATATACCGGTATTATTAAAATAGGGTTGCAATTGCATTTTAGGTTCAGTTTAGGGTTAGGGTAAGCGTTTGGGCTCGTGTTAGGTATGATGTAAATCTATAGTTGTCCCCATGAAAGAAAACAAGCTATTGAGGCGACTGGGCTGGAATATGGTTTTGAAACGCAACTATGACAACTGGACATCTACCCCAGACATAAGGAAAGCTGATTTGAGATAGAAAGGGGTTAAACAAAAGGATATGTTACTTCATAAAGGATTGTGGCAACTGGAAAGCTACCACCAGAAAAAATTAGGATATTTGAGGATGGAGGATTAAAGTTAGGACATATTATTTTGTGAAGAGAAAAAGTACTGTAGTGAGCTCTGTATAACCAACCTTTGTAACCATGCATTCACTTCAATGGGAAGACCGGTTACCTGATCTCAGAATTAAGGAATGTATGTATGTCTCCTCTCACCTCCTAGAGAATGGAGCAAAATCTGTCCACTTTTCACACAGTCGTATATAACACATTCTCATGGTGAAAAGGGGGAGCGAGTCTACGAGATAAAGGTGAAGCATTAAGTGCAGAACTAGTCGAATATTAAACAAGGCACCATTCTACAACACTATAAATTGGATCACCGGTGCAGGTAAACACAGGACATGGACGTACAGGGAAGTATATAACATATGCCTACATAACCAACATATATCATTGTGTACCAAGCAAAAGAGTGTGAATTAATTTTTTTTAATGATTTTTTTAATTTTTCTATTTTTCATTGACTCATATCCTGGCAAAAGGCCGCATGCACGCTACCATTATATTGCTTTGTACACGCGAGCGCGCTATCGATTGGCTGCTTAATTCACGCGAGCGAGCCACAGCTTAGCTGCTTTATGCAGGCATGCTCGCATTCGTAATAGCAGTTATTGTTTATGCTCATTGTACTGTGCTGAGTGCTTTGCACATGCTTTTAATCGCACCATCAGATTATAAGATTATCTCAAATAAACTTGGCACAGGGGGGATTTGTGGCTTAGCACAATGGGGATTAGCCCTGCGGCACTGGGCTGTATTCATTATGGCAGGATAAGAGTTAATGAAGTAATATAGAGTTATTCTTTTGGATGATTATATACACTGTATAGAATCGTGTTGGTATAAAGTAAAAAAAATGGTCAGAACTGGTGATATATCCATTGCCTGTGCATCTTTTCACACCCTTCCGCCTATATGGACACGATGACATGTGCACATGTACAAAAGTAGAACACTTGTTGTAGAAGAAATTAAAATGTCATAGAACATGAACAACATTCAGTTTTCGGTACAGTTTCTGAAATACGTAACATTACATGTACATCACGATGTCTTATACCACTTTCTGGTGAGTTCCACTTTTCATTTTTACCCCTTGTAATCACAGAGTTAAACTGCCATGATAACAATAGCTGAAATGTCAAGCAGTTTTGTGATTCAGAGTTACTTTATCTGGAACTTGTGAATAAAAAGGCTTCCCAAAATTTACGACTTTCAAATCTGTGTATGCATTGGGACATTTTTGTGCACAGCAATCTCTGTTTTAACTCTTTATATGCTTTTGGACGTTACATTTCATACACATCATAAGTGTGATAAAAGTCAACTGTGGCACTTCAATGCTTGTTCCATTTGTCTACCACGACAGGCAAAGAGTTACACGTACATGTCACCTCAACCTGCCAATCCGTTAAACATGTAAAATGTTTTATTTAGTTTCAGCATCTTTTAGATAGTTCATAGCGCTGTTTCTGGGTGAGGCTTTGATGTTTCGCTCAAAAAAAAGTGATAGAAGACATCTACAGGTCAAACAGAACAATCCTCACGCATTTTGTTATGCCTACACCAAGCTAAATAAAGCATGACAACTTACATGCAATATATTACAAGAATAGGTGAATAATCGAAATGGTCGAACCAGTTTGCAAGAGGCAAATCGAAAATGCACCAGATGGCTACGTGTGCCATCTTGAAATTTCAGTCGACTCCAATAGATGGTAGATTTCTAGTAACTGGAACAAGAGACGCATTCATTTAGTTGCAATCATTCGCATTCTGAGAATATAAGAGTAACTTTCAACATGGTTATATAATAAAAATAGGGATGTCCATTCAGAATAATGCAGCATTCTCGTAATAAATGCCGGTGCTCCCAATTAAACAATCCTTAAATTTCCTTCTCTCCACTTTCCATTTATTTGAATCGCTTAGGTTTGATTGTCAATTAGTAAAAAATGTATTTGTCTATTTGAAGTAGGGTTAAGATAGTTATCATCAAAACTAAAAACACTAACAATTTCACGTTTCAGATATATTCCCCTTTAATATTACCCTACTGCTGAATAAATAGCCCCATAGGTATTCAACTCGGAATACATTTCCTTTCCCTCCCTTCATTTAGGCACCATTTTAACCACATAGATTATGGGTAAGGTTCATAAAAAGAGAGCAGAAAAACAGGGTGCCATTAGGTGGCATAGCTTTGGACACACAGGGGACATAAAAGGGTGGGTACTTTGTTGAAAATAACTTCATAAAACCATTAAAAAGAAAGTAAATTTAGGAAAGGTTCCCACACAAACCACATTTTAAAGGGGTCAACAAGGAAAAGAACCATTACAATATCTAGGACAATTTGAGAACGTTACCTGATCGAGAGGTTTTCATCGTTTGGACAATCAAAAGTCTACTAAACAAACTGTGCAGAACTACGTAAAAGAGCTAAAGCGAGACTACGTTTTTGCACGTGAAGGGGGAAGCACTAGTTGTAGCACGGTACATGATATTGCAGATCCGGGGATCTTCTTGGGGCAAGGTGGGAGACTATATAAACAAAAGGAGAAGAAAACGAAAGTCCTCTCATCCATCGTTTGAGTGATTTCTGAGTCCAACTTGGGTCATGCATTGGACAGAATGCGTGTGAATCCTCTGTTGCTATACCTTCTCGCCTTCTACCTTGATCACGGGTATCTTGGGCTGCTGAGGACTTGGCCTTTCACCTTTCTTGATGACGCTGAACTCGAGGAGGGTGTCGATGATGTTGAGCGCAACATCACACACACGAGCGCTGGTCTCCTTGGTGACGATTGTGTGCAGGGCCTTCACTATCACAGAGAAATTCAAGTGCCCATTTTCCTGGAAGAAATTTAGTAAAGCTACATGAGTTTCCTTTTTCTAATGATCTCTTTGTTTTCCTATCAAATGAAAATTCAGCCTGAAAATCAACTAGTTTTGAGTGAAGGTGGATAATTTATTGTGGCATGTTGAATTTTCGAGAAAAGAAGATTAAAAACAAGAAAAATTTGAAATTTGAAAATAAATATCAGTGGATATGGAAATCAGAGCCCTATTACTACAATATGCTTGAAATAAGCCCCTTGAGTATTTATAGTTGTTCAAGTTTAGGTTAAAATTTATTCCACTCATTAAATAAACACATTTACCAAAATAACAATACAGACAACAAATAACACTGCATGATGAGGAGAAAGCTTATTAAGAGGAAAGAGTAAAAAAAAAAAAAAAAAAAAGTTATGATACAGATGAGGAGGAAAAACCTTGAACAAACATAACAATATATAAATACAGAGAAAACAAAGCATAGTTGTGCAATTTGCTGTAACTAATTACATTATCTTTGGCATAGTACATGTATTCTCAAAGTGTATGGTTTTTACTGATATGAGGATAAATGACAAAGTATGTGTCCTTACCTGGATATAGTATGTGGAACCAGGTGCCTCAGCAACTTCCTGCTCTTCTTGCGTGGTGTAGTTCACAAAGGTATCTGATGCGCTCCGGGGCAGCGTGGATGCAGGGATGTTCAGAGTGGTCTTCTGGCTCCCTGGACAATCGCTTCCAGATGCTGAGCAGTTTTCTGCAGGCTTGAATGGATTCTTAATGGTGTCCCTTGTTGGGGGCACAAGCAAGGCACAGGTCTCTGTTGGTTCCTCCATGTCATGATCATCGTCCGAGGGCGGTGGGTAATCAGGGTTGGAGTGAGGATTGTTATTGTTGTGCATTGTTGGCATCTCCCAGTCGCTCAAATCCTCCAGTTCATCCTGAACAACCATTGCTTTGACTAGCTTTGGTTGCTCCCTCTTTGGCGGAGAGAGCTTTGGAGGGGAGGAAAACGGAGGAGGAGTGATTGGAGGGGGCCCTGTCAATGGTAGAGCAGGTGGCTTCGCACTTGGTGATAACGGAAGAGGAGGAATCGCCAACTTTGGTAGGGTTTTGGTTTCACAGTCTGACTGAATCATTGTTCCATTTGATAATCTCTTTGGAGGTTCTATGATGGTGGCCATTTGTGGTTCTAGGTCGGCGTTGTTCCAGTCTGGAACTTGCAAGATTTGTGCATTTGGTCCGTGTAGCTGCATGGGTTTCCGGTCTTGAATGCCACCTGCTTCTTTAATCATCCTCTTGGCATGAACTGCAGGGGCAGATCCATGTCCAGCAGGGGTTGGTGGTAAAGGAGACGAGGATGGTGAGCCAGGTGTGACTGTTGTTACAAACCTTGGAGAAGGAGAGCGAGGCAGAGCTGACGCCTTGGACCTCGGATTCGACACCAAGACAGGAGCTTTCAGGGTAGGCTTTGGTAGAGAGTTGATTCCTGGGGATGAGGATGGTGGTGGCAAGACCGAAGTTCGTTGTCTATCATAACTGGCTGTCAGCATGGTAGGAGAGTTTCCTGAAGTTTGCTTTGCAGTAAGTACTAGGGGTTTGGTAATGTCCAGAGTTGCAGCAGAAGCTGTGAATGCAATGTTAGTTTGTAGAGGCTTTACCAAGGAATCGGTCATTTCATTTTCATTTGAATTGCAGTTTGGAGAATTGTCCTGATTATGCTCTCCCACCTTCAACAGTGATGGAAGAGTCTTCAGGTGGATGACTTTAATCTTGAACTCAAGGGGTTCTCTTCTGGGAATGGTAAAGCTTGAATTCTTCACTACTTCTTCAGGGGATGGAATGAGAGGTTTGGTATCGCCTGTGGTCTCCTCCAGATTGCTGGGATTGTCCACCTTTGTTTCTTCATTTTCTTCTTGGATTAATTTGGGCACAAGAGTGCAGCCTGCTTTAGAGGGCCGCGCGACCTTTCTGTACTTTCCAGCACGGATCATGTCATGGGGATTCTTTCTTTCACCGCTATTTTTCCTTTCCAGGGAACTCTTTCGCTCAAGAATGTTTCTCCTTTGGGGAGGAAGGGCAGATGGGCACTGGTCCTCCAACTTGATCTTCTTTGGTGAACCTGTGAAGGTCTGAGTTTCTCTTGGACGTACTTCAGAAGCCCTGTATCCTTGGGATGATCCCATGTATGCAGCTGGTACTGAGAATTTCTTGGGCGGAGGACCTGGAGCGGGGTTGAAGAGCGACACAGTGATTTGTGGTATCGGAGAGGAATTGCTCCTCTGTCGCACCCTTTCTGCAGCTATGGTTTCATCAGCTATCTGCCGTAACCGTGTCAGGATGTAGGTGAGAGCCCAGTGGATACCATCTTCTGACCAGTGAGGGCTGAAGAGACATCGGAGAACAGCAACGTCAAAGAGCGTTGCAGAGCATACATCATTTAGTCTCTGTGGAAAACGACGTTTCAACATTTCAGGTGGGGGAGAAGGAGGGGAAGGAAACACTCCTTTTGAAGGGTCATCGTAAGTTTCATCCTCAATTTTGCTGCTGCTGTTACTGCCTGACAATTCAAGAGACTGTGGACGTGACTTCCTTGAAGGAGGTGGGGTAAAATCTACAGGAGTGCACAAGGGAGCAATCTTCATTGCAACTTTGGGATCTGAGTCCTTTCTGTTTTGCATGGCACGAAGACCATCTTGTAGTTGGGCATAATTGAATCCTGAGGATACCTTGAGATTCCCACAGCTACAAGCCTGATTCCCAGTGACAGGAGTATTACACATCTCACAGAATATCTCCAAGCTAACAGAAGGCACATCAGCAGGAGTACTTAGTCGGCTCACCTCTGAAATGTCTGCCAGGGGAACAATCCGACGTTGCCTCTCCTCCTGCTTTTCCTCCTTTTTCTCCTCCACAGGTTCCTTCTCCTCATCCTTCTTCTCTTCTTTAACTTCCTCAATGACTTCCTCCTTCTTTTCCTCAACCTCATCTATCTTATTCTCTATTTTTGGTGCCACTTTGTTCATAACAGGACTCACTTTCTTAGGATTATGCCTTCTTCCTACCCTAATGATGCGTCTTGGCTTCACCAAACCCGACATGCTCTGTATATCAGGTTGTTTGTGATCCCACAAGGCACGCCAGAGTTTCAGACCAGTCTCCAACCTGAAAGTCAAGTCTGATTCCTTGATGCTGTAGACCAGCGGCGCAAAGAGATACACAAACAGCTGAAGTGTGGTGAGAGGGTGCTCAAGAGCTACATCGTTTTTGGCGTCACACTGGTTATCCTCAGCTGCAGCGGTTGCCTGTGCACACTCATCTGGAGCGTCAAGAAGAATCCAGTGCAAGGTGTACAGGAGCTTGGTTTCTCCCACTCCTAGCTTGTCTGCATGCCCTAGCTTGGCTCGGTTGGTGAGTAGAGCAGCGCAGCAGTGCATGAGATGAGGAAGGGAAGCCTGTATGAGCTGCCATCTTGAGATACTAGCGATGGCATCAGAGAGACTTGGTGAAAGGCCATGCACTTTGTTCTCCACCAGAACACGCTCAAAGGACTGAAAAGAAAGACAAAAGAAACTACATTACCAAACAAAACAGGTGTCCATGTTTTACACAAAAGAAAAAAATTATATATAAAACAGGCGTACTCTCATTCTAGTTAAAGCCTATTTGCACTAGTTTTGCCAGGAGTGATTAGACCTCCCTGTGTGGTCACTGACAGGTGGTTATTTCATCATAATTAACAAAAGAAAAAGGGAATCATGGGGGACCAACGGGTACCGCTTAGGCATTGTTTGATATGTAGAGGGTGCAAGTAGCTACAAGTAGTGCAGTCCCGCTTTAAGATCTAATGACAGTCAACTGTCCACAATTTCTTATGTAAATGGTCAGTCTTGTTTTTTTTCTTTTATATAAACTATTCTGTAGAAATGTCAAATAAGATTTATTGTTCATTTGTATATATATATATATATATATAGCACTTCACACTGAACCTATTTTTCATGTAGCACTTTAAACGGAACCTTATAATTGTAAGTTCAGAAGAGATCTAATGCCCAGCGCACACTAAAAAATACTTCTGCGACCTGATTTCCATAAACAGTGATTATATTACATTTGGAAATCCAAACAAACATCATCTTCCCAATTTAGATTCTGTATGATGATAACAATACTACCAACTGGAATTTTAGTGCATTTAAGTCTTCTAGTCAGAATTAAAGCCAATTAAATCAGCTTCAAAGTGTATACACTCGCATTAATTGTCTTACGTCACTATATTTCTGTTCCATTTTAGCTTTCCTTCTCCAAAGCTTGAAATCCCTTGAAATTTGGATTTTATTAGGCAAACAACTAGTATACAGATCATTGATTATTAAGATTTTAAAAGTTTGACTGTTCATGTTAATTGCTATTGCTGATTCTCACAAAACAGATCGTAGTCAGATTGTATAGTGTGCGTTGGGCTTTACTTGTGAATCAGCAGCACTTGGTTTTTATCATTGGTACCAACAAATAACAGTCAGAACTAATTAGAGTCAACATTTCTTGGAATTTGTTGAAAATGTCGGCATTTACCTTTAACCTTGAACAATATAACATAACATTTGAATTTATGAATTGAATTATCTGCCTCAATAGTTATGCAGGCATAAAGCAGAGGTCCATATCTTTCATGAATTTTAATTCAGTACAAGTTGATTTGACACATAATATTTCCATTTTTTTGTAATCATACAACTTTTGTGTATACAACTGAATAGACGAGATAAAGAAAGCAGAGATCAAAGTCATTTGAAAATATAAAAAAAAACAGAACAGAGGAGTAAGTCAAGAGGGAAGGGTGGGAATGGGAGAAAAACACACATGGCATAGGACAAAAGCAGTAGAAAGAGACTAAAACATGATTAAAGGAGAGAGAGAGAGAGAGAGAGAGAGAGCAAGAGAGAGAGAGAGACGGAGGGAGACACAATATGAGAGAGGAGATAGGAAGGGAGACACAGACACAGACAGAAGAGACAGAGAGAGGAGAGAGAGGAAGAAATCAGGACAAAAGTAATCATACAGAAGAGGAGAGCAAAATGAAGGAAAGAGAAAGAAAATGAGAACTCAATAGGAAAGTAATGGAGAGAGAGAAAGAGAGAGGGAGAGAGATAGATAGAGAGAGAGAGAGATAGAGAGAGAGAGAGGGAGAGGGAGAGAGAGAGAGAGAGAGAGAGACAAAATGAGAACAGAAGAAAAACATCAAGGAAGACAAAATCAATCATACAAATTGGGGAAGAGAATAGAAGAAGAGAGAGTGGGCATATGAGAACCCATAGACAAGCAAATGGAGAGAGAAAGAAAGAGAGAGAAAGAGAGAGAGAGAGATACACAAACACACACACACACATTACATCACCTGAGCTCTACACCGCTTACACAAAATTTTCTCAAGAACTATAAATCATCACATGAGGTGAGTTTGGCTAGCATCCTTAACAAGACTCATTAAATATTCCAACCGGTAAGAGGTAGACGTTATATGCACCCTGCTGCAAGGGTGATTGAAATGCCATGAACGTGTGGCTTTCTCCGCATAATGTGCATATAACCCTTCATATATATATATATATATATATATACATACAACGCTCGGTATTCCCCAGTGCAACATATCATCATCTATAATATGTTGATTCGAAACATATATCTGAGTAGTATTCTTTGATGCAAAATAATATCTGTTGTTAACTCTATGTTCTGTGCTCTAATATACATGTACACATGTAGATGATTATCATCTATGTCGATATAAAACACACCTGAGAAGTATTCTTCAATGAAACATACATACATATATTACATGCTGATATAAAACATATGTGAGAAGTATTCTTCATAGCAACATATTATCATCAAAAACATAATTGCAACGAGGGGTAATTTATAGATACTATTTTATAACAAAGTAGAAATGTACAATCTTATGCTTTTGGTTTAATTTTGCAGTAGGTCGCAGTTATTACGTCATTTGTTTTAGGCGTTTCATGTACCTCATTTACCTACTTTGTATTGCATGAGTTATAATTTATTTAGAAAAGTGCTGTATTATGTTTCATATATCTAAATCTTTGGGTGTTAATTATGGTACATTATATTACTATATGCATTATGTCATGTTATTACTAAAAGAAAAAAAGAGTGTTTCTGCTGGATATAATTTTCCTTCTGTTTTGCTATAAACACTGCATTGTAAATTGATTTATACGGTATATGTTTACAGAATATTGATATGTTACATTACATTGTAAATTGATTATATGTTTATAAACAGAATATCATATCAATGAAGTTTAATAAATACAATACAATACATGTTGTCATAAAACATATATATGAGAAGTATTCTTCAATGCAACATATCAACTATGACAGCTTATAATAAAATATATATCTGATAAGTTTCCTTCATGCAACAATAACATCATCTTTATTATGTGTTAAAAAATATCGGTGAAATATTCTTTAATGCAATATGTTATTTATAAAAATATGTTGATAAAAAAACACAAGATCAGAGAAGTATTATTCAAGCAACAAAGACTTAAGTTAATAGTTTTCAGATTTAGAATTTAAAATGGTTCTATTATAATCTTCAAAAGAAGACTGCAAATCATATGACTTTTACAACCTGTTATTGCCTTTCTGGACAAAGGCCTAAGCATGATGATATGGTGCTAACACTGATCCCTGGCTTGTAATAATATGAATTTTAACTATACATTTATTATTAGTAATTATCGCAAGTTAATCATTAGATTAACATTGTTGTAATTTCATGAATGTTGAATTGATATAGTATCAATATTAAAGGGATCGTTTAACAATGTTAAATCTGAGATGCACGGCCCTACGTGTTATCAGTGTCTGTGGTATATAGTGTTATATTGAGGCCCTAAAAAAATTGCGCTTCAAAATCATCAAGAAGTGTCTCAAAAAGTAAGAACCTTTGAGTGACCGGTTTTACCATACTCGTTTTCCCCAATAGACTGTAGTGTTATGAAAACACAAAATTTCGATTTTCAATCATAAATATCACGGGGTTCCTGACTGACCAAGTTTTATTCAAGGTTTATAATTATCATTGCAGCATAAGCTAAATCAAGGATTTTTTTAAAGGATCTAAGACAAAGTTACCGGATCCCTTTAAAGGAAAATCCACCTTAATAGAAGACTGCACTATAAGAAAGTAGGAAAATCAGACTGGTGAAAGTTTGATTGAATTTGGACCGAGTTTGAATGAATTTGGATAAAGTTACGAAAATTATATGAAATTGTGAAACTTAGTGTAATCACTATACATAATATATGGGGACTTCAAATTGGCTGAATCTGTAATTTCAATCTGATGTAGTGCCGGACAACTTTTTTATTTGTTTCAAAATTACTAAAATGTCAATTTCTCAAAACGATTAAAGAATATCTTTTGTTTTTTGAGAACCTTCAATAATCTGTAATGTAATGCACCAAGGAAGAAGTCAATCAGGCGAAAAACAGAAATTAATGATATTCTTGTAAACGAGCAAGAGACTTTTCTGTGACTACATCACAATCCACTGACCAAATTGCTAATTTGAGATTTGCATAGAATTAGTGTTCTGTTCTGTTCCTCTCATTTCATCCATTTCATACAACGAAAATTATTACCGAAAAAAGTTGGATTGGCCTTTAATCCAATGTTATTTATGAGCACTAAATGTATGTAGCGCTATGAATATTTAGATGATGTAGAACTAATCACTAGTTAATTATGAGCACTAGGCTTACAAGTAATGGTATGAATGTTCAGATGAGTTCTTATGGTATGGATGTTGAGATGATCTCTTTAATGCCTGGTTATTTATGAGCACAAATATTGTAAAGCTATGAATATTGGGATCATGTCGTTCTAATAACTAGTTCATTATAAACACTAGACTTACAAGTAATGGTATGAATGTTCAGATGATATAAAGTAATCATTGGTTAATATTACGAGCCCTCACAGCTTATAATAGTATGGATGTTGAGATGATCCCTTTCATCTCTGTTAAATTATGAGCACAAATGTTTGTAATGCTATGAATATTGAGTTTATATCATTCTTATCACTAGTTGATTATGAGCACTAGGCCTACCAGTAATATTATGAATGCTCACATGATATAGTAATCACTGTTTAATACCATGAGCACTGGCAGTTTGTTATGGTATGAATGTTGAGATGATCCCTTAAAACCCTGGTTATTAATGAGCACTAAAGTCTTGTAATGCTATGAATATTGAGTTTATATCATTCTTATCACTAGTTGATTATGAGCACTAGGCCTACCAGTAATATTATGAATGCTCACATGATATAGTAATCACTGTTTAATACCATGAGCACTGGCAGTTTGTTATGGTATGAATGTTGAGATGATCCCTTATATCCCTGGTTATTTATGAGCACTAAAGTCTTGTAATGTTATAAATATTGAGTTCATATTGTTCCAATCCCTATTCCCTAGTTGATTATAAGAACTATGTTTACAAGTAATGGTATGAATGCTCACATGATATAGTAATCACTGTTTAATACCATGAGCACTAGCAGTTTGTTATGGTATGGATGTTGAGTTGATCCCTTAAAATCCCTGGTTCATTATGGGTGACACGACATTTGCTCCTGCGACAATTGCTCCGGGCTTTATTTCGTCTAAGATGTAGGGTTAGGGTTAGGGTTTCAATAGGGTTTTATGTTAGGTTTAGGGTTAGGTTTAGGGTAGGGTATAGTGTTGAATCCAGGGTTGAAGTTAGCCATTCGATTAGTGTATGAAATTTACAGCGGAGCAATTGTCGCCGGAGCAAATGTCATGGATTCTCATTATGAGCACAACATGTTTGGAATGCTATAATATTGAGATCATGTAGACCTAATCACTACTTAGTTATGAGAACTAGACTTACAACAAGTAATGGTATGAATGCTAAGATGATATATAGTAATCACAGGCTAATATTATGAGCACTAGCGGCTTGCAATTGTATGGATGTTGAGATGATCCCTTTAATCCCATGTTAAAATTGCATATGAGCACTAAAAGCTTGTAATGCTTCAAAAGGTTAGATGATAAAGTATTAATACTTATCCCTGAATAGTAATAAGCACTAAAGGCTCATAATATGATATCGAACATTCAGATGATACTAACATTATTCACTGGCTATCAGGCTTGTATGCATGTTGAGATGATATAGTAATAATACTTATCCCTGATTAATTATGAGCACTAATGGAAGTTTATACTATCTAATGTTCAGATGATATTAATATTAATCACAGGGCTAGAAGGCTTATAATGAATGTTTGGATGAGATACTACTGATATTAATCACTGGTTAATTATGAGTACTAAAGGCCTGCGATGCTATGAATGTTGAATGGTTTTCCAAAGCCTGACCTTCAGCGTTACAACCTGACAATTCAATTCATGTAGGATGATGCTGATTGACAGCTAAAATGATATTGCCATGCCCATGCATTGCAGGCTCGTCAACTTTTAAACACATGGTCACGCACTAATAATATTGATGGTACTTTATGAAGGTTACTGTGTGATGTTTAGAGCCAGAAGCGGTTCACTCTGTGTTAAAAGATATGAGGGTTACTGCCTTTCTGGTTCCAAACATGCGATGTATTTCTGGTCTTACATTCTAAAAACCCAAACTGTTAAATAACCATTTAAAGGGGCTGAGGAGTGACAGTGTTTTAATGGAGAAAAATCCAAAAAATCTAAACTAGAAATATTGACTCCAGCATGTTAAAATTCTTAGATCTAAGTACTACTTTGAAAACCCTCACACCCCTCATCCAATATAAATGATAATTTAGCATTTTAGTTTTTTCTATATCATATAACCTGAATTACTTTTCAAAACATTTACTCATCAGTATCATTTTCATACACATGAAATTATGAGTTGAGTATTACTAGGAGTATCACATTATTGTAAATTGTTACCTTTGCAATCTTCCATTTGGCCAAATAGACAATAGATGGTATTCATTGAATAAAATCTTTAAATCAAACTAAATCAACAGTTCTATTTTAATGTTGTGTTCTGTGACTAAATCCACAGCACATACAATAAAAGTAAATACCGCTTTCAGTTTTGGGAAAAAAGATCTAGCACTTGGTAGTCTGAAACAACAGTACATGTGACCATGGAATGGTTGAGATCTGCTACCCAGAACATGGAAAATGTTAAAGTAGGTTTAATAATGACAATTGTTCCTTTAAAGGACCCCATCAAACCTTATAGCTTCTATTTTTTCCTATTTCTTACAATAGTTTCAACGGGTAAATAGAGCTACAATTAAATAGGAACATGTACATACACATGTAGATGTCTATACACTGCTTGCTAAAGTAGATATGAAGATAGCAAATTGGGCTAAGTACAAAACACAAAATCTACAAAGAATCAGATAAAATGTTTCAAATTGCAAAGGAATTTGCATGTTATACCAAAATCATTTTAAAAAACAGAAAAAACAGAAACAGCCCATATTAAATCAATTACACTGGAAGAATGCTTAATTACACATCTTCTTCAAGAAGCTGTATATGCACTTACACAATTCAAGTATAATTCAGATATAATTTATGACAAATGTTATTTGAATACAACAGATGTGCTGTATTTCAATATCAACAATTAATACTGGTTGCATTTTCTATTTACATCTGCACATAAAAGAGTACATATTTTTGTCCCAAAACTCCTAAACAAATGAGTGTAAGGCTGAAGGTCTTCTATTATAAACACATCAATTGATCACTGGCTTTTGTACATTCAAAAACATCTGATTGAATACTTACAGAGTTGCGATGCGATAAACATATTACACAGTAATATAATTCAGTCTAACATATTCCTGGCCACTCCTTGGTTTTTATCAGTAAAAAGAGAAATCTGGAGGGAAGGTTCAAAAATATTTCACAACAGGAAAATAGGAAAATGTCATCATCACAATGAAACTAAATTGTTTGTCCCTCTTTTTACTCATTTTAAAATCAATTTTCATGACAAAACGATTCTTGTACTCACCACACAGCTTGCTTCGTAGATTCTTGTTAACTTGGGCCGGATAAAAGGGCTGTTTATGAAGGGAAAAAAAGAAAGTGGAAAAACATTTATTATGGTAAACAAGAAACTACAAATATGAGTCAATATAATGAATCTATTTTGGATGGGAGTATAAAAAAAAAATGATATCAATGCCATGGAAATTTAACTCTGATTGAACTATTTATCTGCTTCTGTTGAATCACAGAACAGGCAGTAATGGACGGCCACAGTTGACGCTTTGCACACCTACTACACATGTACAGCATAGTATACATGGAGGTTAATGACTTCAATCCATAGCAGACAAAGAGTTAACACTAACTCTATTTTTTTTCTCGTTTGATGTCCAGTGAATATCAGTACGGTTTTAAACATTTCATTAATCACCTACTAGCAGGTTGATTATTTTAAATTACCCGAAAATTAAAATGAACTACCACTCCTCAAAAAATATATGTATTCAAATAAGTACATTTAATATAGCTACAAACAAGACAAATGTCAACTATTGTCTAGATCATTTTCTTTCCAGTAATCAGGTTCAAAGGAAATCCAACCTTAATAGCACACAAATCTAATAGAAAGCAGAAAAACCAGAGAAGCAGAACGGCGAAAGTTTGAATGACATCAGACAAAAGATAAGAAAGTTATGATTTTTTAACTTTTTAATCTCTAACAATTTTCTATTCTACTTCCTTTCAAATTTTAGTTATCCTCAAAGGAGCAAGATATGCTATGTATCACTATGTCTTTTCAAACTATTGAATGAACCAACATTTCAATTTAACAGTCCTCGTAATCCACGTCTTCTTCATGGCCATCATCATCATTATCACCATCATCATTATCATCATCACCATCATCACCATCTTCTTCATGGCCATCATCATCATCATCATCATCATCATCATCATCATCATCATCATCATCATCATCATCATCCTCCTCAATTTTTCATTTCAGTTTATTTATTTAATTTCTACATCATGATAAAAACTAAATTATACAATCTTCAATACAAACATATAATTATAGTGATATATAATATGATAATCACTTTTCATCATTATCGTCAACATGATTATCATCATCATCATTACTGTCCATCATCATCGTCATCCTCCTCAAATATGATCATCACTTTACATCATTATCATAATCATCACCACACGTCCATTGAGCATCATCATAGTCATCATCATAGCCATCATCATCATCATCATCATCATCATTGGCGTATCCAGGGGGTGGTTTGGGTGTTCACACCCCCCCCCCCCCCCCCCAGGCCAAACAGGGAGTGTATTAGAATTTTTAAGATACGCTTTATCTGTGCTTTATGGCCCTCTCCCCTCCTGGGAAAAAAGGAGTGTTCACTCCCCCTCCCCCCCCCCCCCCCCCGCACCCCACCCCAAAAAAGTTGTGCACACCCCCCTCCCCTCCCCCCTTCCTCATCATCACCATCACCACCACGATCATCATCATCATCATCATCATCACCACTGCCATCAACATCCACAATATTTCACCTGCGTCACTATTTTCTCAGCTCAGCAGCATATTGCACCGTCTCCACCACCAGCGTGCCGCTGCCCTTTTTCATTCTGCCCATGTGCACATACCGGTATCAAAGTCATTCAAGAATAAAAGAATATTGGGAATCAAAAGATCGGAAATCATGGATGACATTAAGAAAATTTGGGTCGCAAAATAACTCACCTCGTCTGTCTCCACAGGAATATTTGAATAGGCAGTGGGATCTGCCTCGCAGAATCTTTGGGATCTTCCCCGGACTTCTTTCGTTTCACCATCTTTACGATCTCAGAATAAGAACAACAACTCGATAAATGACTATTCCAGGACCTTTGATTGTGCTGACATGGCCATCAAATTTACTCGCTACCAGCAGTAAGAAATACCCTGATTTACTCGATGAAACATTATATAAACCGGTAAAGAGACGAAGTCGGCTCCACCGTGTTTAGCTTAGCACAAATAGATCAATATTCCTCCCAGAGCTTTGGCGCGGTGATGGCCGTGGCTGCCCCTTTTAAAACCTGTTGTCCGCATCAAGTACCGGTCCAAAACTCCAGCCGACTTCGCGATAGAGATGCACTCCGCTGCTCCGGTGCACAATGCGGCAGAAAATGAAAACAGCACACAGGTCATCGCATCAGCTGATCGTACGAGCACTGCGCATGCTCCGAAAATGAAGATGTTTATCTGAGGGAGATGATGCGAAAATGTAGAATCTTTGAAATTCATTAAATTCTTTATTTTTGTTCGTGGATGCATTAATTTGTTTAATCATGTTATCTTAAACCTTTTTCCCATTATAATCAGTACAACAGTATTGTTTCTCATAGCTGATTAGTGTTTTTATCTTCTCGTATCAAACCCCAATAATTACCTATATACCTGAATATCTTACATACGTCTTCCTATAAGCCAGTTCACGGTTGCAGTCTGAGCATGAGCAGATCGATAAAGGTCATTGCAGAACAAATTTTGAAATACACGGAGACGAAATACTGGATACGTGCTCATGAAAGTTATGTAATTTTGTAAGTTTTGGATTTCATTAAGTGGTGAAATTAAAAATGCTCCATCGACTTGTTGGACTCCATGGAAGAACAGAGCCATTAGGTTAATGGCTCTGAAATGGACTATCCAACCGTTTTATCATTCTATCATTGTTATAAGTCTTTGATTATTGTGTTATTGTTTTTTTATGATGATTTTCGGAAATAAAACAAACAAACTAATACTTTTAAGAAAAAAAATGAAATTGTTTTTATTACAATCATATACACCTCATTGAATTATATGCCGTTGTTGCTTTTGCTTAATACAAGATCTTTCTCCGCTCGCTGACTTAAAATGTAATTTGATTATTATATTGTTCCTTCTCATGCTCGTTTTTAACGCGTATTTCTTTTTCCTTATCTTCTTGTCAACCCCACATGCAGCTCATCATTTAGTATTATTTTCTGTACCCTCGATCTCTCACTTCTTTTTGTCATTGTCTACCCTTTGTATTATGACCGTGTTCTTCTATCTTTGTCGTGTAAAGTATTGTCTTGTCCCTTTCTCGTCTCTGTTGGCATCCCCCTTTTTCTTTCGGCCCCTATTTTGTAGTTCCTTTTGTAGTTACAGATTAGTTAATTTAATTACTCATTATTCCTAAGTTTCATTTCTTTTACAAGCATTGCTTTTTAGGGGACCCCTCTGTTTCAAACATGTATTTCTTAAATTTGTTTTAAATGCTTATAATTGATTTGTAATGTTTTGTTGGATAAAATGAATAACATGAATAAATTTGAAATTGAAATTGAAAATCATTATTCATTCGTGCACCATCAATGCACTCCATGATACACAAGTGGAAGTATTCTTTGAAAAAGGGAAACAAAGGCTATTTATGTAGCACCTCCATCGCTGTAGGAGTGATTATTTCAAAATGTACAAAGTTGGACCTCTTCGTGTTTTGAAGATCTGTGGATATTCGGGGTCATTGCAGTAATGTGCTAAGCGTGAACTGGTCTATTATATATCTAAAAGATCATATTATTCAGGCAGAATGGACGCCTGTTTTAAACATGCAATATCATTGTGAGCGTAACATGATTGAAAAAATAGGGATTTGAATTTCTTTGGTGTTAAAAATATTTAACAGCTGAGCAAGAAAGAATTTATTCATCAGGTTGAATTACGACAGCTTGATAAAGTGAAAAAGAAAAGAAAATCATTCCATTGTATTCTACGTCCAATAACAGACCACTGTTCAAAGATCTTGTTTTATTATCCCCAAAAAAATCAACAAATAAGCTGTATTGTCAAACAGAAAACGCCTCCCCTTTCCTGGTATTCAGTAAGCATTAGGTCTGTCACATGTATAATTGATTGAAATCAATAAGATGTTATATAATTTTATTTTTTTTTGTGGTCGGGAAGAATCGGTGGAAAAGTAATTGTATTACAATCATATCGTAGAGGGGGCTATAGCTCTATGGGTGAACGACCCAATTAAGTGTGTATCAACCGGAGTGCCGGAGAAACCTGTATGGGTGCCATTTAGACATCTCCAGGGGTGCCGCGACAGGTTTTTAGATGTATGAAAATTTGGATTAACATCCATTCTGCGAAAACATCATACAGTATTAGAAACTGCTATGTATTTCATGAGGAAAAGTCATTTGAAAGATAACATTTGGGACTTGAATGAGTAAAGCTAAGGATTGGTGACTCACCGACTATTTTCGTTCTGAGTGGCAATTTAAATTTGAATGTATATCTATTTATTTGCACTTATAACTTGCTTGCAATGCAAGATCAATCATTATTTATGTTAATTGGATGAATCTTGCTAGATTCCTCTGTATGTTTATGTCTCTCTTTCCATTTCACATCTTTCTTTTCTCTATTGTTATGTCGGCTCTCTCTTTCTCTCTCTTTCTCTCCCTGTCCGTCACAATCTGACTTTCTCTCACTGTCACTCTCTTTCTAATCCCTTTCTCTCTCGGTCTACTTATCTCTGTATTATCATTCTCTCTCCTCTTTGTCTATCTCTGTCTATCTACTTATTTCTGTATTCTCATTCTCCCTGTCTCTCTCTTTCTCTCTCTGTCTGTCTGTCTCTCTCTCTCTCTCTCCCCCCTCCCCCTTTCACTGTCTCAGTGTTTCCCTCTCTTATTCTCTCTCCATTTATATCTCTGGCTATTGCATGGCCCCTCAATTGAATACATATTCTAGGGTATGCCCAATGTGATATTTGGAAAGAGTGCTATACTTTAATAACTACAAAGTATTTTATTTTCTTGGCAAATGAGCATATTTTATTTATAGGCATATTCTGGCATAGAAATAGAAATTTACAAGTTTATATTACAAAAATAATACATTGAAGATACGATTTCATTCCCCACTGGAATGTTATATATATGTTATATGATTTGTTATCAACATCAACAAAATGGTATGCACATGTTACAGAAGCAACAAAACAATAACAATGGAAATAAATAAATGATATGTTTTGACTAAACCTGAAGTGTATGATGGATGAATACACCAAATTTGTGTTTCGGCCCAATGTTCTGACATCCTTTGATAATCATTCTCCCCATGCATTCATGAAACGGCACCAATTTATCTGCAAGAATTAATCGAGGAATACAAACCCTCCCGCAGTTTACGGTCATCTTCACAATTAAACCTCGTATCTACTTCTGTGTCAACTCTTTCTTATGGTAATCGCTCCTTTCGCAAAGCTTCTGCTGAACTTTGGAACAGATTACCTTTAAATGTAAAAAAATGTCAAACTGTTAACCTATTCAAAACTAGTTTCAAGACACATTTATTCAAAATTGCGTTTGATGATTAATTACTCTGTTCACTTTGACGTGTATTCCATATGTATTGTAATTTGTATGTCTATTTGCATTTTTAGTTTTGTATAAGATGTAATTGTATATCAGTCTATTTTGTGTGTATAGCGCTTAGAGACTTCGGTGGTAAGCGCTTTATAAGTAACGTTTTTATTATTATTATTATTATTCTTAATAAGTTTCAATTTTGGCAATATACAGCAGTCTATGCAAGTCTTTCAAACACTACTACTACTATTCCATTAACAGTTATCCTTTAGCAGGGGTTGGTTGCCCTAATCCTCAGTCTCCACTCTCCTCAATTCCCTGTTTGAGCCGCTGTCAGATTTAGGACCCTCGCAACTATTTTCATTTTATCTTTCCAACGAGCTCTCTGCCTTCCTCTTTCTCTGCTTTCTTCCAAATGCTAGCGTCATAATGCCCTTTGCTGGTTTTCCTTCATCAGTCCTTTTGAAGCGCCCCTATAAACCATTTCAATCTCATCTCCCTAACATTCTCCAGGATGTTAGCTACTTTCAACTTCTTTCTTAGTTCCTCATTTCTTCTCCTGTCCCTTAATATTACCCCTAGTATCCTTTGTAACATCCTCACTTCTGTCACCTGGAGTGTTTCAAACACATGTCTCCTAAAATATCCTCATATAGGCACATGCATAATCAGACTTAAAATAGGGTCCTCTATCAAATTGCAAAGTGCATGACCTGCAGGTTCTGTGACGAACAGCACCACACTTTATGCATGTAGCAAATAGATGATGAAAAATCCTCATTCAAAACATTTAACATTAATCTTGATATAGTTTTTCAACATTGTAGAAAAGATATATGTACAATTAAAACTGAATGACATCAAAAACGTTTTTATCAACCTGTACATGATACAAAATAACATTAACATATATTTCTTTTGTATTTCAGCTGCTCAAGCCCTTTGCTTAAATGATTTCATTCTCATGCGCAGGCTCTGTTGCTTAGGACCAGTTACCTGGATGACGACTAAATATGACATGAGCATATATAGAGTATATAGAGAGTAATGAAGTGGTGAAGACCACTTCATTACTCTATAGACTTTCATGTGGCCTTGGACAAAGATGGTTTTATATTTATTAAGTATCCATTTACTCTATCCAAGTCAAAACCAGAATTTTGAATTATCATCTTTCTAAAGGATGCTAATACGAGTACAGGGATTTGCAGTCTTTGTGTGTTAGAAAAGTGAAGGTACATGTATATGGTTCGGAAACCTGGAATGTGAAGATGGTAGAAGAAGGTATCTTGAGAAGAACAAAAAAGAGCCATGGTGTGTGGTGTGAAACTGTCCGATAGAAAGGACACAAGTGAGCTCATGGAAAGGTTGGGTCTGGAATGAAAGTAGCTTGGGATCTAGAAGTGGATGGCATAAGAGGAAGAGGAAGATCAAAGATTACATGGAAATATATGGTGCAGAAAGAGAGAGTAAGTTTGGTGTAAGTGGAGAGGATACTCGACACAAGAAGTTAAGGGAGTGAGTGTCATCATGGTGCAAAAGTCAGTAACCCCTCTTATGAGGAAATATGCCGACTTTAATAAATGATGATGATGGTGCACAATGCGGTGCTTATTCAATGGACCACAAAAACTTGTATGACTTTTTGTAAACACAAACCAATTTGAATACTGCACTTTGTTTCTTAAAATTGGTACAACATTGTGAGGGGAAAAATTTAAGTAACATCTTGCTAAAGGACACTAATGAAAGGACGAAAATTTACAGCATGTGATTCAGTTATAATTATGACTATGATATGGACCTTTTTCTTCAATAAAACCATTAAATCAAACATTAAATCAATCAATCAAAGACCACAACTAATTAGACTCCAAACATTATACAAGGGAGACATGAGTTGGTCTAGCGGTGCATTCTCTCTGGAATCTCTCTGTCTTATCCTGCAAACTGACTCGAGACAGACCCTGACTCAAAACTGAATCACGTCTTTCAGTTGGTGACGTTTTAAAGGTCGGTCCCCCGGCGTAAAACATCACTGATTGGTACATGTCTGTAACAGCTCAATTGCACAAACATAAACAGCCAAACATTCTGGACACTATGAAACCTGGAAAAGCCTGACACAGAGAGGCAAAAGCCTGCATGGAAACTGAGATCCTGATACTCTTGTTACTTAAAAGGCCTATCAGGGACCCGTTTCACAAAGCCTTTTTTCATTGACAAATGACAAAAATCAGTGACAAATCCACTGATAACCAATCAGAAGCAAGGATTTCAGTAGCTTATAACAAAAATTGTAATTTGTCACTGATGACAAGTTTTGTGAAATGGGGCCCTGTTCTCATCTGTCGAGATTGGCTAGTCTACGTCTCCTGAGCTCCTCAGCTGAAATGCCTGAAGGATGCGCCCCATTCTGGGGGTAGGGTTGGGGCGGGGCACCCCTCTCTCTGGACAGATCGGGATAGAGGTGTGGCGTGTCGTCGTTTCCAGAGTAGGAGGGGGCAGAGGGCATTGGTCTGTCTCCCCGGCGACGATTGGAGTGACCCGAGTCTGGTTGACAGAGAGAGAGATAAAAGCAATCATTATTCCAAATAGCAATTCTATAAGTAAGCTCAGGATTTATTCTATAAGAAGCATAAAGTCAGCTACAATATAGAAACTTTATATAGTTTACAGAGTTTCCATTACATCATTAGACATTTGCATCAGAAACATCAGAAAAACTAGATGGAACTTCGACTGCGCGCAGTCGAAATGATGCCTCCGTCATAGAGCAATTTTACAAACCAAAACAGAAGAAATTGTTCAAATTCAAGTTCAATTGTAATCCATTAACAGGTTCTCAGAATATCGTGATTACAAGCAATTTCTCATATACATATATGACCCTTTGATCTTTGACCACATGACCCTAACATCTACTCAGTTCATTGGCTCTGCAAGATGTCCCGAGTTAAATAGTAATCCATCTGTCAGTTCTAATGAGAATGCGTTCACAAGCTATTTTAGCATACATAATGAGCCCATGACCTTTGACCTCATGACCCAAGAATCTACTCAGTTCATTGGCTCTGCAAGATACATACATGATCTAAGTTTGGGAGGAATCCATCAATCTGTTCTAATGATAATGCGATCACAAGCTATTTTTGCATGCATAATGAGCCGCATGACCTTTCACCTTGACCTCATGACCCCAAAATTTGATCAGTTCATCGGCTCTGCAAGTAACATACATGACCTAAGTTTGGCAGGAATCCATCACTCGGTTCTTCAGATAACGCGATCACGAGCTGTTTTTGCATACATAATGAGTCCTGTGACCTTTGACCTTTGACCTCGTGACCCCAAAATCTAATCAGTTCATCGGCTCTGCAAGATACATACATGACCAAAGTTTGGCAGGAATCCATCAATCGGTTCTTCAGATAACGTGATCACGAGAACGGGACGTACGGACGGACGTACGTACGGACGGACGGACGGACAACCCAAAAACATAATGCCTCCGGCTACTTCGTAACGGAGGCATAATAATTTTGGACCTACCTAATTATAATATCAACAATAGATACATTTGTATATTACACATTCATGTACATATAGATCCCGCATCATAGATTCAGCATCACTACCACCATCATTATCATCCTAATCATCATCAACATATCAGCATCAGCATCATCATCATCATCATCATCATCAAAGTCACAACCACCACCATCATCATCACCATCACCATCTTCATCATCATAATCATCAACATCATCAGCATCACCACCACCAGTATCATTATCATCATCATCATCATCATCATCATCATCATCATCATCATAATCATCAACATCATCAGCATCATCAGCATCATCACCATTGTCATCATTATTGCCAATATCACCATCATTTAACATCTGTTTTTCCTATTCTGTGGGGTTGGGCATTTCATTCAAGTGATGGCCTTTTGCTAGTCAAAGCATTCCAGCTAGCAGTTTAACTCACCGTTATTCATACTCTGCCTCGTGGCAGCCCTTATCTGCTCCTCTTCGCTTAGACCACCGGTATAATCATCCGCATGGTAATTAGGTAACGTGGGTGCTGATGTACTTGCACCCCCAGAGGTTGAACCCATGCCGGTGTTATGGGGGTAGTCAGAAGGGCGTGGCCTGGATTGGGCTGTACCTGCCCCCGATCCTGTTGCATAGCCACGCCCTGCATAGGCTTGGTTTGTTCTCGGGGGTGGGCCACCTTCCCTGAAACCGGTAGTGTCCGCCCTAGGCTGGTACCGTGCTCCTTGGGCTGGGTTACCGGATAAGACTGCAATATTTTTATAAAGCAAACAGGAGAAGATCATAATATCAAAACCTCACAACTTTCTTATCATTCATCAGAGTTTCCTCAAACTTACACTTATCTGCTCTCATTTTTATGATTTCATTATTAAAGCCAACTTGCGAATGTGGAATTTCTCTTCAAACACTGGATCTATTTCTTCTGCAACCCTCTGTTGAAAAAGTGAAGAAGTGCTCCAACATATTTGCTCTGGTGACAACTGCCCCTGTCTTTTTTTCAGCAAAGAAATGTGGTTAAAGTTGGTTCTGCGATTCGGTTTTAGGTTAGATTTAGATTAGAATTAGGGTTAGTTAGAGTGTTTGGTCTAGGCTCAAGTTTAGAATCTGGTTGTGAGCGATATTGATTGCTGAGAAATCATTGCTGAAGCATGTGTTGTACAACGACTGAAGAAGCACACTGTAATATCTGTTCTTTTCACCAAGTCTCACCTGATGTGAACAGGCTCCACAAGGCATTCATGAGAAGCTTGAGGAGGCCTTCAACATAAGCTTTACTGAACAGAGCATGCAGCAAACTTACGCTGATCTGCTTCTCTCATTGTTATGCTTTCATTTTAAACCAACTGGCAAAAGCACAGTTCGTCTTTTAAAAAGGAGCCAACAGACCACTTCAGAGGAAGCATTTGTACAACTGACCCCCAAGTATTTGAAGATTTCTTAAATATGGAGAAGTCCCACTTTTTGCAGTTTAAAAAATCACTGCTAAAGCTATGAGCTTCATAAATACCTTTTGTTTGCCCTCTTGAAGAGAACACTGCCACCTTTTTATCAAACAATGTACAATTGATATGAATAAATGAAAAATGATTAGGGCCTACATAACTTATCTGAACCATATCCAACATTCTTCTAGATGGATTGTACAGTTTTGTACAACTGAGCTTTATCTGCCCATGTGCAGATAGTATCTCAGAGGAGTTTTTCACAAAGACTAAGATCGACTTTAATTTGGACTTAACTATGGCAGACCGTTCATGCCACTGTTTGCTCTCACCATTCACTGGCATTGGTCTTTCAAGGGACGTATAAATCATGGTCACAAATCTACATTTTTTGATAATTCATTATTGAAGGAAAAAATATCATCCAAAAGCTCATAATGGTGAGAGCAAACTGTGGCATGAATAGCCTGCCATAGTTAAGTGCAACTTAAAGTTAATCTTAGTCTTTGGGAAACACCCTCCTGAAGTGTTTTTTTATTCTGTGATCCTCTAACAGTAAAGCTGAACATTGTATTGCTTGTTTTTCACCAAATCTCACCTGTTGTGAACAGATTCCACAGGGCATCCATGAGAAGCTTGAGGGGGCCTTTCACATACGCCAGACCGACCAGAATACCCGCCAGATGACCGGTGAAGGAGGCCCTCGGAACAATGAGCTGGATTAAGACCAACTCTACCCAGCATGCCCAGCGAGACGGCACGCTGAACAATCCCATGATCCTTTGGTTCTGGACAGGAGTGTAGGTGGTCGTGAGGACTTTCAGAGCAAAGAGCACCCCTGGAAATCAAAAGAAATTCAGATAATATTTTGATTTAAAGTTTCCAGTTTTTTTCCACCCATAATATAAAATAACGGTGATAAAAACGTATGTAAATACTCGTACACATGAATATACGTACTGATACATTTACATAATTAAGGAATTATATGTGATTGAGGTAATATTTATATTTTAGTTTACCAGTTTTATTCCACTCATAACATAATAACAGTGATAAAAATACAAACACAAGTATATAGGCACATGAATATGTGTACTAATACATTGACATAAATGAAAAGGAACTTGAATTTAAGTGAAACAGCCAGCAAGAACCAAAGGCCAGTGAAAGACAAGCACCAAATTAATTAAATTATCAAGAAAACATCAATTGAAAGTATCATTTGCATGGCAGATTGATTTGTCAAATGAACTAAGATTGTTGTAGTGGCTGATCATATCCAAGTAAACTTCTCATTAAAAAAAAAAGGTCATCTCAAAACATTTGACTGGAAATGCTTATATAATGTGAAGTAGAATTATCTTCATTGCAATATCACCCAACACTCTTGTGTCAGTTGTTTATGTGTATAAATAAGACAGTTATTGACACCTAACCTCCCTATAAAGATATCACTTGTCTTTAAACTGGCAACTGTAGACAGGTGGCTACTGTAGACAGGTGGCCTTTCTAGACAGGTTCTACAACTCATATCTCTTCCTAGAGAGAGGCAATACAGGTGACCTTTATAGACAGGTGGTCTTTGTAAAGAGGTTTGATTGTACAGTTAAACCTGCTTCAGTGACCACCTGTCTACAAGGACCACACTTTTTGTTTCCCTTGAAAATGGTTTCTCATTGAAACATGTACTAAAGGAACCTGTCTATAAAGACCACCTGTCTACAAAAACCACCTTTTGTGTTCCCTTGGGCGGTCGCAGTAAACAAGTTTGACTGTACTTGATTATCTTACCCGAGAAGCCCGCAGCACAGGAGACGATGTGGGAGCTATCCTCCAGAAGTTCCGCCAACCCCACGTTGAGAGCCACCAGCAGACCGTTGGTGAGGAAACAGAATACAACGATGAGGTACGCAAAGTACGGGGAGCCAAACTTCCTCTCCAAGCTGATACCTAATGATGTACATGAGCATCATACAAGGCAAATAGACAGTGGATGTTTACGTGTGCCCAGATTTCACACTGATTGTTACAAGTGTATAATCCCACTTGTTTTTTCTTTATTTGAATGGAATAAGCTAGATAATTCAATGAGAACGGCTTCCTCCGTCAATTCATTTAAGAGATTGTTTAAACGTAGTTGTAATTTGTGAATGGCTCAGCCGAACATTCACTACGTGCATGTTCTGTAATATTAACATGATTTATTCACATGATTGCGACTTAATCAATATTTTCCTGTACGCATTACAGTTGAAATAGGTTAATTAAATGGTATATGATTATTTTGCAAACGAGTATTTGTTTGTGCTACGTCTATTATTGCTGTGTTACATCTTTCCAAATGTACTATGGAATTTTATATGAACTGTTCTGTATAAACTTTATGCTTTTTGATGTAAATATGTTCATGTTTATTTAGGGCCCTATGGAAGACCACGGTAGGATGCGACTGTCATTGTTGGTCAAACAGTTTTTGAGCGTCATGTAACGCCTGGCTGGAATGCTCCCCAGGGAGTGGAGATTGTGCACACAGTTTGTGCAGGCAAGCACTGAATTCAATGACCGGGGTAATAGTATATTTGTAAAGCGCTTAGAGACATTTGTAATAAGCGCTATATAAAAACTAAATATTATTATTATTATTATTATTATTGGTGAATGGGCTACCCTGACAAAAGATAAGAAATAAATAAATACCCTTCCAGACTAACGACACCATGTTGAAATAGAGATGGAAGTCGTCCAGATGGAACCACGCCGCGAGAAAGAGGCGGGGCCAATCCCCCTTGTACCAGACGTGGGCGGAGCTTACGCAGATGTTCTGGATGGATGGAGATCTGATGACAGTCTGGTTGTTTCATGGAAAGGGATGGGAACAATGTGATATTACAAGGGATACTAAAGTTAAGTCATATTCTTCATTACTTTTATCATGGGGCATTCCATGGGATTGACGCAATTTTTGTGATATATACATTTACCAGAACTCCAGAAGTGTGAAACCATGTCTCCTATCGATGATAACAATACTAGCTCCAATTGAGTTTAGCATAAAAACCAGAGCCATCTATGTTTAAAAGTGCTCAAGCTTCATGATGAAATCAGAGGAATAAATATTTTAGACCCAAATTTAATGACATTTCTTTTAAAGTGCATGTTGAGCAAAGATCTTGAAGAGAATCAACTGAAACAGAAATAATTCTGAAAGGGCATTAACATAAAATCAATTCATAAAAATCTTCAACATTCCTTCCTTTTAAAATTATTAAGACTATGAAATTATATACAGATAACTTTGCATAAGTCAAATTTGTTGGGACTGCAAAAAGAGGTATGCAAGGTATTAAAGGTATGCAAAATTTGATTTAGGAAGTGTAACTAACACAGTCTGCATATAGTTTGGTCAAAAAATTGATTTGACATAGGATAGGGAAAATTTGTCTTGCACGACTTCAACTCATGCAGAATTGACTGTATTGGAATGCATGATCAGCATCATACCTTGATGTATGGGTTGAGGACGCGCAGATAAATGAGAACATTGGCAACAATTGTCGCCAGGGTTACGGGAGGAATTCTGTCGAATCCGACCCGATATAGCTGATGAAGGAGCAGCAGGAGTCCCAGACCTTGCTGTCGTTGCATTCCTCTTCTTCTTGGTCTAAACATCTTGGATTATAGAGCTTAATCTGGATATAAAAAAATGAAAACAAATATTAATAAGAACATTACAACAAAAGTACAAAGTCCATAAATGATCACTTTAGATCTTCTATCACAAGAATATATGAAAAGGGAGGATTGCATTTACGGTATACAAAAACTTTAGATTTTCTTGGCCTGGATTCATGAAAAGTAGCACATTTACAAAAGTCATGTTCTCATACTATCTTGTCTTTGCTGATTACAGATGAGAGATTCAAACAATCTCTCTCTCTTGTATCCTTCCTCTGCTCATATCAGAGATCGTTGGCACTGTGAGTCTGCCGAAGTTCCACGAATGGCTTTTATAAGTCGTTGGGGTACTTAACTGTTGAAGGGTCAGAGACAAACTAGTGTATGAAGGTAACAAAGTTGTTGATGTTTAAAAGTTTGACTTTATATGTGAAAATAGGAGGCTATTTGAATGCATAGTATGGGAGAGGAAACTAGAACAAATAGTGATCTCCTTGTGTATATAATGACAACATTTTTTGCCTCTTTTTTTTCTTTTTAATTTCAGTATGTTATTTTTCATTGCCTAAGTGATGGCCATTTTGAAGAAAAAACAACTTAGGTCAAGATCAAATCTCTTCTACTAGATCTAGACTAAGTTCCATTTATTTGAAATTGGAAATTTAATGGCATTATTGTGAACTAGTATTCTTGATCCTCATCTACTCTGCATAGGCATGATTCATTACGTACTTTATAGGGGATTATTTCCTCGCACCCCCATAGATTTGACATGCAACTTGCAAGTAGATCTATAGACTAGTGTGTGCATATTCAATGTTATTGAGAAGGCCACTTAAATAATGACTGTTGACACAAGAACGCAATTATTTAACAGTATAATTTAGTAAACAAATGATGCATGTAGACTAAATGAGTTCATTATCCACAATCAGGATCAGGTATGTGCATCGTCTATAATCTATACAGGGAGCGCAAAGGTGAGATATGAGACTCGCCTCCAGCATCCCAGATCTAGACTAGGTCTAGATCTAGACTAGTCTAGCCTATATCACTTTATTTATGAGTATGAATTTTTTATGAGCATCTCTACATGTAGGCCTATACAATGTATCTCTCGAGCTTGACAGTCTCGACAGTCGAGTCTTGACTTGAGCGAATAGATCTAGATGTAGAATTATTTCTAAAAATTCTTCAGGCCCTGCATGCCTTACTTATTTTGTACAACCCTAACTAGCTTGATAAGAACCCCCTACGCGCTACGGCCACTTATGAATAAATGAGCTTCTGGAATATTGGTTTAATAAATTAGACAACTTACCAGCCGCGGCAGAAAGCAACAAACTCAATTTCAACTCGGCTCTGCATTGTGATTCGTTTTGAATTTGAGGTCGAGCTGTAGATCTATGCGCAGTTTTCTCCTTGATTGCTACCTCCCAGAAGTCTACTTCACTTGATTTCATGCACAAAGTACACGTCAGTCTAACTTCAAGTGGATCTAACAGTTAGATATTCGTGAAATCTGACCCAAGTATTGCAAAATGAGGTGAATGACTGAATCTCGATCGCGATCCGTCGACCGTCTGTGCAGCTTTACAGCTGTAGCTAGCTGTGTAGTCAACAACGATATTGTTTATTTTCGTTATTACACGTGTACTTCCGGGTTATGCAATCCAGGGTACTCTTATGTATGTTAGTCTATATAACCACACCCTGTTGAAGCTATTAATGACCTGTCAGTCTTTCCTTTGTCGCCGATGGCTACGATCAGAGGATTTGGATTAATTCTGCATTAGCCTTTCATAAACATACTAATACTTTAGAACATAATGGGGTTATATGTCTCTCTTCTTCGTCTTCAATTTCCCGATAATGATCGGATTTTCAGAGGCATCTTATTAACCCTATAGATCTATATGCCAGCATACAAATTTGGCAGTGGCAGCATGCATGTATATATCTTCCCCTAAAATAAATATGGTTAAAAATCCAAACCTTGTGAATATTATCATATATATTTTTTAATTATTTTCAGTTACCTATATAACCAGGCAAATTGCGAATAGGTGTTGCCTGTTTTCTTAAGAAAAGTTAAAGCAAGTTAGATTCACTTAGTGCCTGGTAGCTAGCGCAGATTAAGAATATATTATTTTGCCCCTACCCCAACAAATTTCATAGTGAAACAAGGAAATGCTTTTCACTCACTCTCTCTCCCTCTCTCTCCTTCTCTCTTTCGTACTCTATTTCACCCTTTCTCATCCCCTTTCTCTCTCTCTCTCTACCTCCCCTTCTCTCGCTCTCTCACACTCTCTCCTCTCCTCTCCTCCTTTCTCTCCCTACTACCATACATTAAATCCTCAGAAAAAACAATTAGTTTTCACTACAGTCCTGAAGAAGAAAACAAATTATAAGGCGCAAGGCAAACTACGTAAATAAACTCATTCACATGAACACAAACAAATATCATTTTCTTGAAATAAATTGTTCAGTGTTGTCTTTGACAATGAGATGTGGAATATATAAATTTTAATACATTGACTCACACACTTACAAACATGTCTCATCAAAATAAATCAATTATATATTTATACTCTTGAACTGCATGTCAATCTGGAACTTTACCCGAAACAAACAGTTGTATCATTGGCATAACCAGGTGTTTTTGGTTGTGGTGATCAGGGGCAGATCCAGGGGGCCCATCTCAAAAAAAGGTTAAATTAACATGTTTTTACACATTTTTTCCCCAGGGGTGGGCCCTCCGCCCCCCTCGATCTGCCACTGGTGGTGGTGGTGGTGGGGGGAGAAGGGGGTTATAAAAAAATGAACGTTAACAAAAAATTCTCACATTACTAGACAGTTAATTACCATATGTGTAAATAAACTCAATAGATATCCAATATGTTCTCTGTATTTACATAATAAGCTTTTAAAAAGGCCTTCATTTCATTGACTGCAAATCACAAATGAAAAAATGTAAACATCATTATCTTTACAGATTACACTTTATCTTGCCATTTTAACCTCAAGCTTCATTGTTTACATAGTCACATTTAGAATTAACATATAACCGTTATCAAGTACTGATCTAGTGTACAGTACTCTGCTTCTACATGTATGTTTACAAATTGATCAACAATACTGCCCTCTCTTACCTTACGTACATGATTGTTCCTTGTGTACCCACAAGTAATCTTTGTTCCATGCACGACACTTCAGGGGCTGTTTCACAAAGATCCTAAGTCTAACTTAACTCTAAGTTGGACTCAAACATTATAGAGAGCAGTTTGTAGCATTAAAATAAAATATACCGGCTTCAAAAGCATTTTAGACTTTTCATAAATTCCACATCAAGAACATGAAATCTACTTGATAATAGAAAATATGAATGATTTGAATCAACATTTTACGCCGTTTAAAATAACTCTTACAAAATATTTTCAAAGATACTAACGGCTTTCCATAACTGTTCAGTCCAACTTAGAGAAAAGTTCAAATTAGGATCTTTGTGAAACACCCCCTGGACTCCTAATTCCTATCAACTCTTTTTGGTATTTTCATTGAATTGTATGCATTACATAAGGAATAATCTATATTTGGCATTTGCGGTAGGCTCTGGATGTAAATTACCAGTAAATATTGAAATATTTCACTAACAACGGATAGTCAACCTGTTTGAAGGTCGAGCCCCTCCTTCTACCCATCCTCTCCAACCGGCACTATAGTTCTCTTTAGATCTATAACAAGCCCAAGAAAGATTACCAACAGTCCTTTTCAGGACTCCCCAATCCTCCCCCCCCCCCCCCCCACCTCTCTCACATGGTACAACCATAAGCCTACTGGATAGGTATTTTTATTTACTTACTTTTGCCAAAAAAAGAAAATTGGTTAAAATACATAACATGTACCTTTCATCTCTTGTCCAAAGAGTGTAAAATTATATGCGAACAAGTACAGAACAAAACATTTGGTCATCTTGGCTCGGGTCTGAACATAAAAAGGAATACAAATTTAGGATATACAAGGAACAATTGCTTTTCATTCTCTGCAAAATGGAGTATTTAAAATTAAACTTTTGGCCAAATAGCGTAAAAAAAGTAAAGACTGTCAAATTGTGCACTTTCACAATATAATTCAAGATGGCTCCTCTTTTTGATTAGAATTTTGTTTGTTCATGAACTTAGGAGCGTGAAACAGTAAATAGATTAAAAAGTGAGGGCATTTATGGAACAATTTTAAACACATCTTCATTCCATAATGTGCAAGGAATTTTATTCAAGCATTTTCACAAGGGGCATTGAAATATCAATTACATAAGAATTACCAGTAGGCACATTCAGAATACATCACAATTCCAGACTGCTCCTTGTTTTAGATAAAAAATGTATTTTCTATCAAGGTCTTTGGATCATAAAATATGAATGCATGAATAATTGGGAGGTATAAAAATGATTCTAAACTGCACTTTTATAAGGCCATGGCTAACCATGCAGCCATGAGAAGAAGTCCACCTATTGGCATGAGCTTGACCGGTGTGGCGTCACTGGTCATCGAGTAATAGTAGCCGGTCCCACAGAATCCTATAATACCTGCGGTCATCAAGCTTCCAGTCTAACGAGAAGAGATAGAAACAAAATATATATCACGCACGGTGGCTCAGTGGTAGAGCAGTGGTTTTGTAACCGGGAGGTCCCAGTTTTAAAACCACATCAATGTGCTAGTTCCCTTTAATAAGGCATTACTCCCACAGCACACTACACAATTGTTCTACGATCCAATTTTTCGAAGAAATGGCAATACACATGTAGTATTATATTGGTTATGTAAACAAACATCATCTCCTGATTTAGCTTGTAAAGATTGATATTAAACTAACAACCAGAATTTTAGTGCATTGAACTCTTACATTAAGAATAAAAGCGAAATCTGCTTCAAATCATAGACAATTAGGTGAATTCACTACAACTTAGCTTTTCCTCTTCCAAGAAAGAATGAAACCTCTTGAAATTTAGATTTTCTTCATTATTTGACTAGGTAGGTATACAGATTCTCAGTCATCAAAACTGTACATGTTGTAACAAATGCCATTGCAAATTCTTCCAAAATCGGATCACAGTCTGTTCATATAGTGTGCAATGCGATTAAGTCTATTTATAGAGTGAATTATTTAAAAAATATATAGTAAACTCATTTTCACTTCGTAGTTATCTGAAAGAACCTCATTCAGGCATAATTTTTTTTAAACATACTGCACTTTACAATGGCGTATATTGTACACGATAGAAAAGCGTATATCGTAGGACATTTTCTATTTTGCACAGCTCCTTTTTCATCTAAACTTGCAATTCATTTAGTACACCTTTCATGTCTGTACCTTTCCTATCGCACTTTGTATAAATGTATCATGTATGTATTTCATCTTTTGCACAAGCTGCGCCTTGAGCATTTGACTATCAAGTGGATTTGGCGCCTTATAAATCATATGTATTATTATATATTATTTTACCAAAAATAATGCAGGTATATATGTGAGGGAGCTTTTATGGTATGATAAATGTATGTAAGTGGAGGTAGTCATGTACGTACATGTATTCTCTACAATCGTTTACAAGTTGTGTATTTGAGGATACCATGATCTTACCAAAAGTGGTTTTCTGGTGTGTGGAACAGCCAGCAAAGCCAAGGAATGGATCAGATGATATTTGTTGGCTGAATCAAATGTCTGAAGTGACGTCAGAGATCAAAAGAGAAAAGGAATTCATGAAAGAAAATAATCTCATTGACCATGTTGTTTAATGTAAAACTGAACATGGTACAAGAAAATCGTATACAGTAGGCTTGCAGGTGCACCATGAGAGAGAGAGAGAGGGAGGATTGAGGAGTCCTGAAAAGGACTCTCTGTAATCTTTCTTGAGGGTGTGTAGTCCTGAAAAGGACTGTTGGTGTAGTCTTGAAAAAGACTGTTGGTTATCTTTCTTAGCTTATAGTTCTAAGGAGAACTATAGCGCTTGGAGAGGATGAGTGGCGGGAGTGGCTTGACGTTTCGAACAGGTTGACTATCCGTCGTCAGGAAAAAATCATGTATTATATGGCCAATAATGTACCACTTAAAAACCAGGAAGCTTACAGATGACAATTTTATGAAATTAAGATCAACTATCGGATAATGACAAAATTCACACAAATAAAAGGACCTCTCTGGATCTGGATATACGAGTGCTTCAACAGAATATTCAGTGATGTTTTGACGTTGTCACATCAGGGACCAATCCTGCGTAAGCAGACGTCGACAACGTCCTATAAAGAAAGTACCGGTACAGCCATGTATTTTTTCAGTGCAACTATTTTTCAATACTAAGACTTTTAAAATTGATAATAATCATTATTTTGAATGTTTCCACTTTCCAAGTGGGGAGTTTTGATAAACCTTGTTTGATCTATTAAACCTTCCCTTATACAAGGTTATGCAATTATACAATTATCTAAATATTCAAAATCAATAAATGTCTTCTTTAAGTGGAAGATGGGTGACTTACTGTTATCTCATGTTCTACCCCTGTCCTTGTCTTCAGAACTGTGATCAAGAAAGTATACACGAAGAATGAGTTTACAGATGAAATCATTTTAGAAACAAAGTTAAAAAAAACTAGTCTAATTTACTTGCTTCAAATGCCATCTTTTCTTGAATTTATTGATCACAAAAGAAGAGAAGATTTCCACCTTGCCCCATGCGTATTCCCAACTAAAATAGTACAGGGCCACCCGATCGCCCGGCTTCCATCGGCGGGGCCTCGACTGCGCCTGACCTGGGTCGGAATTGTAGTCTACGCTACGTCTACTATCATCAATCTACCTAGACCGAAAGCTTCAGTCTCTATATCGTCGGTTGTTCCACTGAGACTACGTCTGGCTCCACTAGACCTCCGGATATAGAGACTGAACAATTCCCTATGCCATCGTATGTTGAAGATACAGTCTACGGGACGATACTGCCCTGACGCTAAGTTACATGTAAATCCTTTTTTTGTTATTATTGCATGCACTAACATATACGATTGCCATTTATAATTAAACCACACATGATAAACATTCAGAAAATATGTACCTTGGACCTCTGCATATGAAATCTTCTTCAAAAAAGTGTTATTATCTCTTCCACTTGACTGTCTTCAGACGTCAGCCATCTTGAATCAAAGTAATGAATATTCATGACAAAGTTTTTTAGTCTCCACCCCATTGACCTCATTCATAGACGTGCGCGTACGTGCACGTACTTGTACATCACGCTCAAAGATCACGCTGCTACTCACGTTTGAGTTCTCGTGTTGTCTGCTTCACGTGCGCGCGCTATCATCGACGTGACGCGCGGAGTAGCTAGCCGAGGCGAGGTCATTGTATATTCATTAGCCGCCATTTTGATTTCTATCGGTCAGAATGCTTGACGTTGGTCATCGAGAAGCAGCCAAAAGCTCGGCAAGTCCTTTTATTTTTTATTTGTTTCTATGTCGTGGGGAAGGGGGGGGTAAAAAGGGAACTTTTAGGGACTGACAATTGCCTAGAAAATTACTGCAATTGAAGATAAATGATGTATCTAGGCCTATTTCTCCTCAAGTTTGTCATGTTTGTGGGAGGGGCCTAGCGGCTAAAATCTAGCCGTGATATCTTCAACATACGCTGGCATAGGGGATCGTTAAGCTTTCGGTCTACAATCTACCGAGCTCGGCCGAGTACTGGGCATGGGCTTCGTGCCTGGGAACTGCACGGCTGCACGGGGGCCAAGCTCCAGTCTCAGGCTCGACTCTGCCTTGCATCTAATATGTCTATATCTACACTTAATAAAATAATAGATTTGACCACAAATCAAATAAAACTGACCATGAGCACCGTATCCTCCTAATACCACTGCTGCAAATCCAGAAACTGCGCCAATCCGGAGAAACATCCGTCCATGTCGGGCGAGTTTGGCTTGCCTGCTTTCTGCCATGATTGCCTCTTTATCCAGCCGATTCTAGGGTCACGTGACTTTAAAAGATCACGTGATAAGTATGGGAATTCCCCTCGAGCTCCCAAGGCTTGCGGTATTCAGATCCGCTCATTACAGTGCACATTTCTCACGCCTAACAATACAGAAAATAACTACTAACAATTAACTAACATTGTTAATTGCATAAACACAACGCCACTAGGCTATCGTCGACCCAACCGAGCAAAAATACCAAAAGAGGACCAGTAACTACACCCTCTCACATTGCCTGGCGAAAATCATCCAACAACAACGCATATCCCCTGTCAACATTGTGATTTAAAATTTGGAATACAAGTCTTTGATGGCGGCGGAGTCTATGTGCTATTAAGAAGAGAGAGAATATTAGCATTTTCATTTTATTTACCTTCAGACAAGGACTGGTACTGTTGTTATCGTTTTGACCGTTTCTGAGGCCGGTTTTTGTTAATACATCATGTTTTCTATTTTAACACTTTGTTATGGTAGGTTGATGAAAATTTGCCCCGAGTGCTAATAAAGCATGTATATGTTTGTAAGCAGAGGCGGCCGCCCCAAACTTTTTCAAGTACCCCAAACTGCCCCTTTTTACATAGGAAAAGTGTCCCTTTTCCTTTGAAAAGTGCCGCTTGCGCTCCTTATGCTCTTTTCACCTCTGATGAGTGTCCCCTTTCACCTCTAATAACTGCCCCTTTTATTTTGATACATGCCCCTTTTCCTGTCTAATAAATGCTCTTTTTTCTTCTTATAAGGGCCCCTTCCACTTCTCATAATTCCCTCTTTCGATATCTGATAAGTGCCCCGTTTGTGCCTATTTTTCTTTTTGATAAGAGCCCCTTCCAACTTTTCACAAAGGCCCCCTTTCACCTCCGATAAATGCCCCTATTAAAATCTGATCGGTGCCCCTTTTCTTTCAACTAATGCAGATTTTCCTTTATCATAAGTGCCCCTTTTTCATTCGCATAAGTGCCTCTCTTCATATCTGGTCAGTGCCCCTTTTCAGGTGCGATAAGTGTCCCTTTTCACCTCTTATAAATGCCCCTATCAAAATCTGATGGGTGACCCTTTTCCGTCGACAAATGCCCATTTCCTATTCTTATAATGTGATGAGTGCCTCTTTTGTTAGGTGTAAGAAGTGCCCCATTTTCACTTCTGATAACTACCCTTTGTACTTTGGCACCCTTTTCTTTTCTAAAAAGTGTCATCAATTTCGATAAGTGTCCCCTTTTCTTCTCATCATTAAACGCGCCCCTAATTTCAAGAGACTAAGAGCAATTTCCCCCAAAGCTCGTTCGCTTGCATTTATAGATGATATAATTATGTTACTTATCAAAGGTCTTTCAGTCTTCCGTTATGAGAATGTGTTGATCACCCCCACATGATTGGGTTTTTCCTCTTTATAACATGTAATTTTTCGCCCTGCCACCACAAATCTTACAAATTTTCCTCGCTAGCCCCGCTAGATCACAAATGAATATTCAGACTATCACACCCATCTACCGAAGTATTATGCTTAAGCAATACCTTGTATGATGTATAAAGATAATCAAATGTTAAAATCATCCCTGATAATATTATAACAATGCAGGGGTATATATACCATGGTCTAAAAATATATATATTTTCGTTTTGAGATTTCCCTTTGAAGGAGCCTTTTTTCTTCCAGAAAAGTGCCTTTTTGTTGGTCTCCCCCTCCCCCCCCCCCCCCCCCCTCCCCACACACGAGATTTGGAAGTCGCTCCGCCGCCCCTGTTAAAATTTATTTATTTGGCGTTTCAGGATTTGCGCCAAAAGAGAGAGCATCTGGAGGCAAAGCAAAAAAAATACAGCAAGAATTCACCAAGACAACTGTATCTATGAATCCAGAGCGCAAGGTTTGTACTTTAAACTATATTCACACAGGAAATGATTATAATCATTTATATCGTAGTTATTTAATTGAAATTGATTTAATTTAGTAACACAGATTATGATATTGCAACTCTTTATAAGACGGGCCCTGTTTCATAAAACTTGTTATCAATAACAAGTGATAAATATCTATAGCAATTTTGGTCTCAGCCAATCAGATTTCACGATCTCAGTATAGCTTATAACATTTATTGTAACTTGTTATTGATAACAAGTTTTATTAAACAATTCCCTGGTGTAAATTTATAGGAATTCACTTTCCTGTGTTCTTACTTTTTTGGGAATACATCTACAATTCTACATAATAGTAATAATAATAGTTAGTTCTTTTATAGCGCATTTCAGGACCGAAGGCCCTCTCAAAGCGCTTTACAATGTACAATGCACGTTTACATAATTACTCGAAGCATTCATAAAAAGGTGAGTTTTCAGCGCTCTCTACATGCACATATACAAAGCATTTCAATCATTACATTGTTTTGATTTTTAACAGTGTCTTGTTATAACTAAAACATTGGGAGAAATTGCAAAAATTGTGATTGTGCCTTTTCGCCATTGTACTTTTGTGTTCACGTTTGCAAATATACATATATTTGTTTGCAATTATGTTTTCCAAATTACATCTTATTAATCTATTATCATTTTCCCTTGCCAGCTTAAGAGCTTCTAGATTGTTAGCAATTACAGATTTTAACATATGTACTTGTATTTACAGTATTCTTTCACTACAGAACTTTTATATGGCACAAATATGTTTGAACCAGCCTGCCAAGCATACAAGTAATATATTCAACAAGATTTTCATGATAACAAATATTGTATAAATATTTTATATATATCATATATAGCAATATTATAGTATAAAAATACAAAAATATATACTACAATATAAAAGTAATACATAGAAATATTGATAACAGAAATATTGAGGGGTAAATGTCTTCTGCAATACTTAGTGGTTTGCTAGGCATGCATACCCTTGGTCTAGAATGATTGAATATGGCCTTGCAACATACAAGGAGGTGGTTTTATTTGGGAGGAACACAGTAATGAACAATGAACAAGAATAAGAGGGGACCATAATTATCAAAAATTGACATATTTACATGTATAAACAATGAACAAAAATAAGAGGGGAACACATATAGATATAAGAGAAACAAAACTAAACTACTTTAATCAACCTCTGCCGACTGTGACAACAAGCTACTGAACCAGACCTTCCACAAGTCTGAGGTGAACCTTGTACTGCTCTGAACACATATGGATATATGAGAAACAAAACTAAACTACTTTAATCAATTATTAACCTCTGCCGAGTGTGACAACAAGCTTCAGAACTAGAACTTCCACAAGTATGAGGTGAACCTTGTACTACTATACATTGGGTTAACCAACATTTTAACAATCTATTTTCTGAAGTGTCAATTCTCTGAATAAACTTGAAAATTAGATTTCTTACAACAGCTTGACATGCAGGTATGTTCACATCTGCAAACATTTTACTTGCACTAAAGTGCCTATAGGTATTCGTAAGAGCATCCTCATAGCATCATTATAGGCTACCGTGAGTGACTTTTTACTGCCTTTTTTATACCTACTCCAAAAATGTGCAGTATATAACTGTGTAAAATAAGCTCGAAATAGTTCAACCAAATTACGAGAGCACATATGAAACTTTCTGCACAATGTGTTACCCTATAAAGTTTACGACACTGTCTATAAATATCTCTATCATCATACAGGTCCTCAGTAAAATAATGACCTAGGTACTTAGCCTCTTTAAAAACATCAAGTTTAGCACCACACAAATAAAAATCTGGAAATACCCACTTACAATATCCTTTACAATTCACAATCATAGCGTGAGTCTTTTTCAAATTAAATTTAACGGCATTGTCTATACCAAACTGAGAACCAACATTGAGAAAGCTCTGTGAACCTGCAGTTGATGGACTAAAAAAAAATAACAAAAGTAACAACTTGTACTTTACAATTTGTAATTTAAAATATTAGAACAACGGGTTTTTTTTTACTCATCAGAGCGTTGTGTTCGTATCTTTTTCATCAGTTGGTATTTTCAGTACAACATTCTCATTTGAAATTTTAAGCAGATTTTTTCCTTAATCTTAATGAAGTACAGTACTACAAGAATAACAATTATTAAACTCATGAAGCCAATAACGATGTACAGGGGTGTCTGGGAAGTTACATTTATGTTGGTAGCCATGACTGTTATCATTTGTGGACGGGAAGCCTCCAGTGTGGATTTTTTTGACGATTTTGAGTGTTGTGTAGGCAGGCGCGTACGCAGGATTTTTTCAAGGGGGGGGTTTTAACATTTATAAATCGGTCCGAAAATTTCGCAACGACTCAGCCAGCCGCTGAATAAGCGGGGGGGGGGGGGGGGGGGGGGGGGGGTAAGAGGACACATTTTTTTTTTTTTTTGGTCCCAAAAAAATCGCAACGACTCAGCCGACCGCTGAATAAGCGGGGGGGGGGGGGGGGGGGGGGGGGGGGGGGGGGGTAAGAGGACACTTTTTTTTTTTTTTTGGTCTCGAAATTTGGAAATTTGACATTTTGCTCCGTTGGGGGGGGGGGGGTAAGTCACCTTTTTTAGGTCGGCCATGGGAATAATTTTTTTTTTTAATAATTAAAAAAAAAAAAAAAAAAAAAAAAAAAAATTCCAAAAGGGGGGGGTTTTAGGTTTTTTTTAGGGGGGTTTACACACAAAAAATTTCCAAAGGGGGGGGTTTAACCCCCCAAACCCCCCCCCCCCCTGCGTACGCGCCTGTGTGTAGGTGAGACTGTAGTGCTCAGGTCTGTAATGTCTGTTAATGCTATGTTCTGTATGGGATCCCATCCACCATCCCTTTGGTCGAAGGTGGATGAACAACAGTGTACAAAATGATTAGCTATTCTCGCCAGTATGACCTGACTAAATCTTCCACTATTTTCGTACAACATTCTCATTTGAAATTTTAAGCAGATTTTTTCCTTAACCTTAATGAAGTACAGTACTACAAGAATAACAATTATTAAACTCATGAAGCCAATAACGATGTACAGGGGTGTCTGGGAAGTTACATTTATGTTGGTAGCCATGACTGTTAT